CATTAAAACTAAACAAAAATGGTTTTCTTTCTTTTACAAAACGAAAAACAGAATGTTTTACCTACTAATTAATGTTTTACATAACCTTTTTGTAAATTGCTCATTTTTAACTGAAACTGAATGTTTTTTTTATTGGGCATGCCCTGCCATGAGTTTTGCTAGAATTCTAGCCCTGCAAATAATTTTTATTTGGTTATTTACAATAAACATGTGTTTAGCTATGCTATTCATATATAACAAATTTCATATTGTATTTTTTTTGTATTATGAAAATAATTTTTTATATATTATTAACAAATATGTTATGAAAAAATAAAATGTTTTGGTTAATTTTATCCAATTTTGATCTAATTTATGCTATGTTTGTTAACATTTCTTAATAGTTAAAATGTTTGAATCAGAATGATTTAAACACGTATGTTGTTTACATTTAAACTTTAAAACCTATGTTGATTATAATATTTTAATAATAGTGAGATTTTAAAAAGTGAAAAATAAACTTTGGAAAAGAAAAATTTATGCGAAATTGAAGAAACTCTTTTATGGAATAATTATAAATGAAAGTTAATCTGGTCCAAAACATACAACATTTCAGAAAACTTATGATACAACAGTAGCTCACCTGTCCAAACAGTAGAGTACATAGCAGATTACTGGTTTTAGAATTGCAGCTACCAATTTCCCTGTTCATGATGTAGAATGACCTGCTGCTCTCCTATAGCTACAGCAGCTGCTGAAGAGGAAGGTATTTCTGTGGTACCTACAGCTGCTGCGCCTGTAGTTGTCCTATGCTTACCAGCCCTATGCATTAAACTATGAATATCAGGATGTTCCTACTCAATGCATCAAATCAGATCCTGCCATTCAAGCTGCTCCTATTGCACAAGCTGTTTTGCTACATCAGTGCAAACTTCATATGCTTCCCAGCCTGCTTCCGCTATTCCTGCAATTTAATCCGAGACTGCTCCCATCTTTTCTCAGTACAATGCACAGGTTGAAGATACTGTAAAGGTGGCAGCGGCTATACTTCAACATGATTAGGTATGCTGCTGATAATACTACCAACGGTGAGGAGAAATAAACTCCTAAGGCTTATGAAACTAGCTTATGATGATTACCCTGCTGTTCAAAATGTTCCTGTTATTTATGCCAACCATGTTGCATAAATTGCTCATCAACCTGCTCCAATTGATTATGCATCACTGTTGTAAGGGGAACTCCTGTTCAACATGATTAGGTATGCTGCTGATAATACTACCAACGGTGAAAAGAAATAAACTTCTAAGGCTTATGAAACTAGCTTATGTTGATTACCCTGCTGTTCAAAATGTTCCTGTCATTTATGCCAACCATGTTGCATAAATTGCTCATCAACCTGCTCCAATTGATTATGCATCACTGTTGTAAGGGGAACTCCTGTTGTCGACGAGATAAGTAGAGCAGTTTTGCTGAGGATTAAAAGCAAAATGCAATAATATCCTTCGCTGCTACTTTGCTGCTCATCAACCTGCTTATACTCCTGTTTATGTCATACCTGCTGCTCCAATTGATTATGCAACGCTGTTGTAAGGGGAACTCCTGTTGTCGATATGGAAATTACAGCGGTTTTGCTAAGGATTAAAAGCAGAATGCAATAATGTCCTTCGCTGCTACTGATCTGGACCAGATAATAAAACTTTCCAAAAAAGTTAAATTCCATCATCATCATAGTAATTTTTTTTTAATTTTTTTGTACCATAGTATATATAAAGAGAGGCTTCAATATTTTTCCCCAGTCCAGATTGGACAAGGGGGGGAATATTGCAGCAACTCTTTCTTTTTATGTTGAAAACCCTTCTTCTACAAAACAGGCTTGCTCGGCTAGGCTACGCTCGCTTGGGTATAAAAAGGGTTGGCAACGCTTTATAACTGCCCAGTTTTTCCTGTATGTTCGTCTCTACCATATCTTCAATATATATGTTTCAAGGTATTTTTCTTGATAAGTTTAAGACAGAGTTTTAGAAGCTTTAGTTTAGAGAATTGATTCTATATGAAAAGGGTTTATTTTCACTTGAGAGTTTCCTGGATAGAATAGAGAGAGAGATTTATTTAAGTGTTAAAAGCAGTATATTTTTAATTACTTTATCTCTTGGTGTATATACTTTGTATTCTATATATATACTTTAAGTCTTAACTAAACTGAAATCGAAACTTTCTATACCCTTATAATTTTCTAATATATTGCTTTTCAGTGTTGATATTAAACGTTGTAACCTTCTTTTTATTTGTTACAATTATCTCTTTATGTTTTGTTTACTCTGAAGTAGCAATGTTTTCACTTGTACTTTTGAAATTAGAATATATCTGTGTACAACTTATTATAAATCTTATAAATCATATTAAATAAATTTCAACTTATCTACTATTTTAAAACAATGTATAAATCTTGTATGTATAATACGTTGGGTCCAAAATTGGGTTAAAATTGGGTTTCCGAAAAATTTGTCTAAGCAAAACTTATGTCTAAGTTAATTCTTATTTTTATCTCACTATTTGTATTATTGTTTTATTGTGTGTAACTTTAGTATTTCGATATTAAACCTTTAAGTATAAGTTTAAGTGATGAGGATTTAAGATTGTTAAATTATTTCTCTCAGGTGCCTGAGCATCAGGGACATCAGACAGGCGATGTTTCTGATGATGAATAGTTTTATTGCAGGAAATTTTTGACCGATAGAGTTCGTTAAATTCTTGGAAACTATAAAAACTATACTTTTTAGGAGAACGTCGGAGTCCATGTTAATCTATTTTTTTTTGGAATGAACGATGACATATATATTTATATTGATATATAGATGAGTATCTTCTGATTTACAGGGGCACGCATCTCTTGTGTTTCCTGGTTTCCATTCCCAATGAGTATTTAATTATGCTTTCAACTCCAAATATTAATTAACAGTAGTACTTTTTTATAAATCAAAGGAATTAACTTGCTTAACAGACGATGTTACACATAACAGTTCTAAAATATACATTTATTCATTTAAATAAATATTACTACCTATAATTCAAATCCAGATGCAGAATTGATAATGGTAATTTCAATGAATCAACAAAGGTCTTTTAAAAAACCAATGACAGATATTACTGCTAATGCTTCAAATTCAAATGCCAAACAAACAGTAGTACTTTCCATGCTCTTTAATAGGTCAAGTCACACCCAGCAATTTTAAAATATACATTTATTCATTAAGATACATATTTATTACTTCCCATTTATAAAATTCTGTAAAATATATCTCCCGCAGCTCCGGCCATAGCCATTACATTTCAAGCTCCCTCAACTACTTGTGATCAGTCCTACTATGTCTCCCATGACAAAAAGCGTTCTTATCCTTGAGGTAAATGTTGCAGTTGTGAGCGAATTTTTCCCCCTTGGGGTTTTCACAGCCACTTGCGTTTGTCTTCCTGGTGCATTTACTGTTATTATAATCATAGCAGGTCCTGACGCCGTTCACCAACCCTTGTCGTCCCCTGCTCAGAGGTTTTTGGTGGCGTTGAGGCTGAGAGGCTGAAGATGAAAAATTAGAGGCTGAGTTGAAAGGCCGATCAAAGTTCTTAGCTGCTCCTTCATAAGGTACCTCCGAACGTAGACCATGTGCAGAGAGGGTTTCCTTTAAGAGCTTCTCCTGCTCCTCGTAGCTGAGCACCGCGGTTTTGTTCGCTGCACGTTTGCTATTCAATCTCTGCACAGAGTTAAAGAACGCACAAATCACTGCAATCTTCACCTTCGGATCCTGGGCTGCCGAAATAAACCAGTATCTAAGCAGCAACCGGCCCATAACGTTCCCAGTCTGGTCCATAGGCCAGAGTAGTTGAAGCAAAGACCTGTAGTTCTCTATTGCTTCTTGCACCTAGACAGTAGTAACATTAAATAGTGATAAATTTTCGATAACTAAATAAATTTGAAAATTATTGAGATGAAAGAGGGCATAAAATGATTCCCACATCTGAATTTTTTGCCATATTGCTTACTGAATATTTTCAGAGAGCCAAATTAACATATCTCAGTCATTAAAATTCAATATGTCATTTATTACAAATTCTGATTTTCAGAGAGCCAGATTAACATATCTCAGTCATTAAAATTCAATATGTCATGAATTTTTAGCCATATTGCTTACTGAATATTTTCAGAGAGCCAAATTAACATATCTCAGTCATCAAAATTCCATATGTCATTTATTACAAATTCTGATTTTTCAGAGAGCCAAATTAACATATCTTAGTCATTAAAATTCAATATGTCATGTATTACAAATTCTGATAGGCAAAAGTTAGACCCATTTAATTAAGTCAAGATAAATAGTACCATTTCAGAACCCACCTGTCTAACCGATTGAGGTTCCGCCCAGTTGTAGTCTGACAACGTGACCAGTTCCTCGTCCTCCTTTCTTCGAATCTCCTTCATCGGCCGACTGGCTACAGAACTATTTTCAGACATGAAGTGCTTGATTTCCACCGCATTCCTCCTGTCATGCATGAGGATGATCGTCCTGTCGGCTATGTTGCTGTTGCAGCCACCGAATTCCAAGGCCAGGTTCCGGTATTTATGTTCATGTTTTATAGGGACCTGCTCATAGTACCTTTTTGGATCTACAAACGGTAACCTGAGCCAACGAGCAGGATGAAGTCGTTCTTGGCCATCATCCTTACCTTCTCCATACTTTTTCTTAGGGGGTAGCTCATCCTTTTTCAAGTGTGATAGCTTAGAATTTTCTGCGCGGAGCTGCTTGACATACATGTCATGCATCAGGTTTATGTCTTGAATCGTCATTTTGCTTACTTCAGCACGATCCAGCAACAGGTCCGGTCTAGAATCCCTCGGCCAAACTTGTTCCAGAAACTTCCACTGAGTAGTCTCTACCTCGTTTCCTTCTTCATCCGACGAGTCTTCAACCTCTACGGCTACAGACTTGGGTCTCTTCTTGCCAGCTTTCTAAATTTTTCATAATTCCATTAAATCAATTTAATGACTTACAAATCTCAAATCAAATTTTCCAGTAAGATTTTAGATAACTGTCAAAATCCCCTGATCAAAACAAGAAACCAGTAACATTTTTTGATAATCAAATTTTTTGGTCAGAAAAAGGGAAAATTAATAATTTACTAGTAAAGCTTTTGTTAATCATTAAAATTTTTGATCAAACCCATAGTTGACATTAAAAATTTTCTTGATATCCTCAATAAGAAATTATTAGATTTATAAGAGAAATTAATAGTTTTCCATTTCCCCTACCTCCTTTTCCCCTGATTTTCCTCCCGATCGTTTCCGGGCTGGTTTTTGAGCTGTAGAACGGCACTCTGGGAGGACAGATGATCCCGGGCCTGGGCCATCCCTAGGGAGTGTTGAGGGAGGTCTAATTCCCAGCTCTCTTCTCGCTTCCCTGGCCAGTTCCTCTACATTCCCATCTATCAGGGAAATGGTATCGTCGATCTCCCTGATCTCACCATACTCTCCTTCCTCAGGGTCATCACCTTCCCTTGGATCTGAAAAATTAATTCTTAAAACTATTTTCTAAGCAATCTATTCTGTTGCAAACATTTCCCAGCATTTAATCAGCATTTGGAACAAAATCGTTATGAATCCCATATTTTATGAAAAATTAAGATAATTATGGTTAAATTTTTACATTAATATTAAACCAAAACATGAGCAAGTCAACATTTTGCCTCAGGATATTAAGTTATGCAAACATTCATAATTTCCCAAGTTGGTGAGATTCTTGTCATTGCAAACAATTTACTGTATTTAAATTCCTTGGGAGTGAAAATTCTATTGAATCCTCTAGTTGTCAAAATATCAAAAAATTATATTTTTTCTAAATTTCCTTGTAATTAAAGCCAAACTCAGGCAAACCAAAATTTCCTCCAGATATTAGTTATATAAAACATTTCATAATTCTAATGTAGGTGGAAAACACAGAAGTGGGTGGTTGGGGCTCATCCGGGCAAGGGGACTC